GGACTCATCTTCAAAGATTCTTGTCCAGCACACAGCTTTGCTGGACGTCGTATGCTGATCCGGGCCCCCTGCCCTGCACTGACTTTTTTTTTTTTTTTTTTTTAAGATGGGGTTTCACCATGTTGGTCAGGCTGGTCTTGAACTCCCAACCTCAGGTGATCCACCCACCTTGGCCTCCAAAGTGCTTGGATTACAGGCATGAGCCACCGTGCCCGGCCATGCACTGACATTTCTTTATGTGTCTCAACTAGACTGAGCTGCAGCTTCAGGGTCAGGACAGGATCTGACTTAATTGATGTGACACAGGACAATGGTGTTAACATCTGCTTGAGGTCTTGGCCTGTATGGACTGTTTGGGGCACGATTCCCCGTTGTCTCATGCCTAGGTGCCTACATGTGGCCACAAGAGCTTTTCCTACCACCATCCGTACTTTAGGCCACTGTCCAGGCACCTGTGGCTCCAGGCAGAAACGTGAGTGCAGAGCCAGGCCTGGGGGGACGTTCTGTAGGTGCTTCAGGAGCTTACAGCCTTGGCCATGCAGCCCATGTCCCTCCGTTCCCCTTCACTGTGGCTGCCCCCAGTCCACCATCCTTCCAGGGCCAGCCTGGAACTAACTGACTTCTGTCTGGCCCTGACAGGTTGTTGGCTTGAGCATGATGGTCTTGCCCATTTCATTAATTATTCTCATTAAAAGGATTATAGAGCCACTTGGGGACCTCACATCTGACTACCAGGTCCGCACCAGAGCCATGACTGCCTCGGGCCCTAGCCTGGGACAGTCAGTGGGTTACACATGCCTGTTGGGATTCAGATTCCGTGGCTTCAATCTAGCCCAATGGGCTGATGGGCAGCTGTCACTTCTCCTCTGCTTGTGGGAGGCAGGAGAGGAAGGTCAGGCAGGAGATCTGCTTGGCTGCCCACCTGTGCCTGTCTGAACCCGTTCCTGATCTCCTGCAGGGTGTGGATTTCAGGTTTCCAGTGGGTGTCAGGGTGTGCTCCAGTGCTCTCCTGGCCCTAGGGAACCCTGGGCTCCATGAGGCCTCGGCCTAGGCAGGATAGTTTTCCACACTGTCATCTCCCCATACTGTCACCTTCCCAAACATTGGGCTGCATGCCCTGGTAGATTGAAAAGTTTAAAAGCAAAAGCCAGTGCCCTACCCTACTCCCTGGCAGTGGGTGGCCAGCCTGACCCTCTCAGAGTGGGCGGGGACAGTAGTTTACAGGGAGACCACTTTGGCCTTGGGATGCCACAGGTGTCTCTCTGGAGCTGGCCTGGCCACGCCTCCTTTCCCTTTCGATCTTTCCCATGACCAATGGGCTTGGAGCATGAGGCCACGCCCCTGATTCTACATTCTATTGGTGCCCTGGTTACGCCGCCTCTGGCTCAGTCAACACAGCTGCCGGGTAGGAGAGAGGAGCTGCTTACCAGTGCTCCCTTGAATTGATGTGGCCCCAACCCCACCCCCCCCCCCCCCCCCCCTCCCTCCCCAACCACCCCTCTCTACCCACCCCACCATGGTGATGTCAGAAGAAATTCGCAAGATGAAATTAGCCTCGGCTAGGAAGAAGGTAACACGCACACAGATCCCCTCCGACGGCAAGACAGCTGCCAGAGTCCTTAACACTTCTGAGACACAGCAGACTGGGTGGGACCCCAACCCCGGGCCTCTGGGCTCACCCTACCAACGTCTTGTCAGTCAGCCCCACCCCTTCAGCAAGGAGCCCAGCCCTTGCCAATCACCCCAGGGTGGCATTGGATGTGTAACCCCTGAGGCTCCCCGCTCCCTATTTGGGCCTCACCTTTTCCTGCCCCAAGCCTGACCTCCCTGGGCTCTGTGGACTCCTGTCTATAAGGAACTGGGTCAGCCACCACTTCATCAGTCATTTCTGGCTGACTTTGGGCTGGCAAATAGTGGGGCTCCCTGCTGCAGACTGCCCTCTCCTCCTGCTACCCCAAGCTCGACCTCCCTGTGCTCTTTGGGCTGGCGTCTCCAAGGACCTGGGTCCCAGCCCTGCATGCCTCTCCCCCATCATGGAACAGTGACTCAGGTGTCTCCTTGATGTGGTCCTCTCCCCCAGGAGGAGTGGAATGTAGTGATGGCACCGTCCCCATGGAAACCATCAGTACTGCTACAAGACCAGCCCTTGATCGTAGGACCCAGTCCCCTAAGCATTCTCATCCCATTTCTGGCTCCTCCGGTCCCAGCACAAATTTCCAGCTAGAAGGGGAATGCGGACTATGGGACCTAGGAGCAAGAGGTTTCAGGCTGCCTCACTCCCTTAACATAGACATTGACAGTGTGGAAAGCCTACACTTCCCCCGTGAGCTCAAAACGTTGACAGTGTCTCTCGGGGGTATGGGAGAATGGGTTTGGTTTGGTTTTCTCTCAGGCTTCTGCTCTCCAGAGAGACTTTCACGTTTCTTTCTGAGTTCCCCACCTCATCTTCAAATTCTCCATGGTTCTGGAACCAGACTGCCCTTCAGTTAGTGGCCTCTGGAGTGAGATCTGCTCATCTTCTGTGGAACAGATCTTGGGAAATTGAACTTGACAGCTTGAATCTTTCTTTTATCATCTCAACTTAGGCTACTTTGAATGCCAAGGGATAAGCATGGGACATCTTTCAGAAGCATCAGTTTCCCTTGAGTCTCTTGAGACAGCAAAAACATTAATGTACTTAGGGATGACAGTCACAAAGGTTTCTAGTATACCAGACTTCTCTCTGAATAGAGACTTGGGTTGTCCTCTTTCTGATGAATTCCCAGATTTAACAGAAAGGCTGCCTTCTGCCATGGGGACACATTGAATATAAAAGTGTGAGAGGTGCTGGTGCTCTTAACACTAACAGACGTGTGAGGCGTATGACTCTAAACCACACGGCGTACAGTTTCCTGTCTACTTAATGGTGACTTTTCTGCTCTGCCTGTGGTTTTGGTCTCTGGCAGTTGCTAATTCGTGGCAAAACCCCAGAGCTTGGAGTCAGAGGAATGAGTTTAAGGTCTAGTATTGCTTTTTTTTTTTTTCTTTTTTGCCATGATATCAATCCCTCTGAGTCACTAAGTGATTGTCACAACAATTTATAGAGTTGTTGGTGGAATTAAATCATATAGTGTATAACAGTATTTTGTAAAAACTGTAAAGTAGGTTGTGACTGTAGGGGCTTGTAGTTCTCATGGGCATTACTGCTCTTTTTTCCCACAGTTAAAAGAATTTCAACAAAGAAACAGCCTTGCTGTTCCAACACGAGTGAGAACAAAGAAGAAAAGAAACAACAATAGTCATGAGACAGCCGCTTCTGATGGTGGCCAGTCACCATGCCATGTGAGTCTTGGCTGGCCAGGCTTCTGGGGAAAAGGGGCCCAAGGGGCAGTAGAGGGTAATTGTTAAGATTGTGGAAGAACTTCTGGGTACTGGTTAGGAATTCTGGGTTTGAATCCAGCCTCTCCATCTGCTAGGGATATGATTTAGGGCAAGTTGCTGGAGCTTTTTGGGCCTCTCCTTTCACATCTGTAAAACAGAGGTGGTGGTGTCTGACTTCCATTTGTGAAGGTGAAATGAGATTCACTATTGTTGTTTTTTTGTTAATCCCTAGTACATGGCCCGCTGTAAACACCCAGGACACCCAGGAAATGGTCCTTGCTGTTTGGTTTTCCTCATCTCCAGTCTCAAGGGGAAGCCAGCCCAATAAGAACAGCCATTTGCTGTCAGGCTGTCCCTTTAAGAGTCACTGAAAGGGCCCCAGGGTGGGATGGTGGGGGATAAGAACCATGAGAGGAGCTGGTACAAGGGAGTTATGGGACCAAGGCGAGAGAGGCAGAACAGAAAATGCTGCCAGCTGATGGGGAGGAAAGGAAGTCAGAGGCTTGGACACTGAGGGGACAACATCTCCGTGTGCCTCCATGAAAGATCCAGAGGTAAGAGGCCCTGAGCTGAGGTACAGTGACCCTGCAGGCCAGCCCTTCACCCTCCTCCCACAGTGGCGGCTGGGTGCCCCTCTGCCAGCCGAGACAGCCCCCACACACCCCAACCCTAATGATTGTTCTCTCTACCTCTCCCCCAATTCTCCTCCAACTCCTCCTCTCTGCATGTGCCTCAGAGCGCACACCAACTACAAAGAGCCCTGGACTCGAGCTCCATCACAACCAGTGAACTGAATAACACAATCGACGTATTGGTAAGAGTCTGGTGGGGTCCCCTGATTCCACACCGCCAATCCTCGGCTCCAGTTTCCCCTTGGGGCTGCTGTGGGTGAGTTGAAGGACGCTATGGGGAGCCAGCACTGGACCCAGAGCTCAGAGGCCAAATGCCCACCCTGCCCTTACCTGGCTGTGGCCTTTGCCAAGTCCTCGGAGGGGGACTGGGTACTTGGACAGTGAAGGTACAGAAGAGTAGCTTTAGTATGTTACCATTTGTATATAGAGAGGAAACTGTGTGTGTGTGTGTGTGTGTGTGTGTGTGTGTGTGTACATACTATGATAATATACGTTAAAGATGTCTGTAAGGATTTGTAAAAAACTCAGGAGAGAGCACAGGTGGCTGGGAGATACTTCCCTTCTGTACCTTCTGAGTTTTGGACTATGCGAATGTATCATCCTTTCAAAAAGTGAACAAAAGATTCATTTCCCCCTTCCTGTCTGTGCCCCCATCCCCAGTAGGAAAATAAATGGACTTAGAGGATCAGATGGACCTGGGTGTTCAAATCCCAGCTCTGTCTAAGTGATCTTAGGCAACCACCTAACCTGTAATGCTCCATGTTTTCCATCTACACAATAGAGGTAATAGTAGTAACTGCCTCACGTGGTGGTTGTGAAGTTAAATGGAGTTGTTACCATGCTACCTGATTACACACTCAATAAAGGTTCCAACAGCAGCAGTAATAGGAAAAACAATAGAATATGATCTGATCTCTCTGGGTCTCTGTGAGCCAGCTGTAAATTTGATCTCTTTGCCTGTCCCGTCCAATGTTACTGAGTTCTTTTAAAATCCAGACCATGGGCCTTGATCTTTACTGACCAAGTTGTGTGTTAAGCCCAGCCCTAGCCCTTTTAAGGGGCACCGTGTGGAATGGCCCAGGCCCTCCAGATTGAAGCTTCTCCCTCTCCACCATCCAGCCCTCGAGCCACTGTGAAGCAGTCCTTGAGCAGCAGTTACAGCAGTTTCTGCAGGAGCGGGAACTGCTGAAAGCACAGGTGGCAGAGGTGAGATTTTGCAGAGGGAGGGATGTGGAAGGAAGATGACCCCAGGTGGCCAGGAGCAGGTGAGGACCAGTGGCAGCCCTTCCTAACTTCCGGGTCCATTCTTGCAGGTGACAGAGTGTCTTAAGAAAGCTCAGCTAGAAAGAGACACATACGCTCAACAACTCAAAACAGAGAGGGCACGGTGGCAGCAGCAATTGCTGAAAATGGCAGGAGAAGTGAGAGCTGACCCTTCAGCCCCCCACCTTAGATAGCTCACTTGATCTTCCTGGGCATCTGTAAAATGAGAATAGTCCAGCCAGGGGTGGTCACGGGACTGGGCTTTGTGGAGCTAGGGGCGGAGAGGGAGATGGTAGCCTGTCCAGCCACCAGCCCCTCTCTCCAGGGCCCTTTCCCCCTGTGCTTTGGGCAGATTGAAATATTCGAAATGGAGAAAAGGCAGGATGCAATTAAAATTGAGGAGCTGAAGGGGAGCCTTGCCCACTTACAAAACCATCTGGGTAAGATGGGGCTGGTGTGACCCGGGAGCAGGACTGGCATCAGAGGGCTGTGGGGGTGGCTTAGAGTGCCCCAGGGAGGTGGGTGGCTGGAAGGGGTTTGAGGCAGAGGGAAAGAGGTCTGTGCCAGGAGATGGCAAGTCTTGTAATCTCCATGAGCCTCAGTGTCCCCATCAGAAAAGAGGGAGGGGTTCTTACTGTCAGCCACCCACAGTGCTCTCTATCTGAAAGTGGCTCGGAAGACTGGCTACCATTTGCGTGTGAGGAAACATTAGCAGTGAGGGCAGGTTTGGGGAGCTTCAGAGGAGCTGTGCACCCAGAAGGGTTTTTTGTTGTTGTTGTTGCTTTTTTTTTATTGAGAATCCAGAGGCCCTTATTGTCTGCTTCCTTTCTCAGCTGAACCCCCAATCCTGAAGCACCCAGCAGGGCGCTCTGACTTGAAGAAAAAACTAAAAACTGAAATCAAGTACCTGAGAGATGAGCTGCAGGAACAGGAGAGACTGCAGGAGGTGAAAATGAGGCTCCGGGAGCAGGAGGTGAGGCTGAGATAACAGGAGGAGAGGCCTCTTGAGCAGAAGGGGCTCCAGGAGCAGGAGGAGGAGCTGGTGCATTGCCCACCTGCGGAGGCTGCCCTGATTCCCAGCCCTCCAGGCCTTTGTTTTCCCACCTGTAAAGTAGGGGAGTGTATGAAATGGGGCATCTAAAGGCACATGTGAGCCACAGCCCTGCTCTGATTTCTGTGGGAGAAAGGAGACAATTTTTCTAACCTGCCTCCACTCTTCCCGGTGCCATGGGAGGCAGACACCAAGTTCTGGGGTCTCCAGCTGCAGTGGGTGGCCGCTGATTGCTTCTCTCTGTCCAGAAGAATGAGAACAGGAGCGCACTGCATTTCAAGCAGGCAGTAAAGAAGCTTGGTGAACAAGAGATGGTAACTTCTGCCCCATCCAGGAGGGCTGGGAGGCAGGCACCTTCTTCTGGGGAGGGGAGGTACAAGGCCACAGGCAGCTCCACCCTGGGGGCAGGTGACCCCACAGCCTCCAGGGCAGTCCTGTGACCGTTTCTTGCTTCCTGCCCCCTGACTTTTAGAGGCGGGTCGCTCTGGGCTCCTCCCAGGTCTGGACATCATCATCCCAGCTAGAGGCATGGAGCACCCCAGTCATAGGGCAAGACACAGTGGTGTGAGAGGCTCTTTATGCTGGGTGCAGTGGCTCACCCCTATAATCCCAGCACTTTGGGAGGTTGAGGCAGGAGCTTGAGATCAGCCTGGACAACATGGCGAAGGCTCACCTCTACTAAAATTATAGCAACAACCACAACAACAAAGCTGGGTGTGGTGGCGCACACCAGTGATCCCAGCTACTCAGGGGGCTGTGGCATGAGCATTACATGAGCCCAGGAGCTGGAGGTTGCAGTGAGCTGAGTTTGCATCACGACTCTTCAGCCTGGGCCACATAGTGACACTGTCTCAAAACAAAACAAATTTAATCAAAGCAAAACAAAACGAAAGTCTCCTTAGATCCAAACTGGATTCCAGCCTCGGTTCCACTGGTCACCATTTGACTACTTTGCATCTCTTAGTCTCTTGTTTCTTTAACTTCCAAAGGAAGTTAGCGTTTTCCTAGCTTGGGTGCTGAGGATTAAATGAGATGATGCATGGAAAGCATTAGGCATGTGGCACACTTGGCAGATGGTGGTCGGCTCCCTCTGCTTTTCCACCAGTCTGTTTAAATGGTGGAAGGAAGGACGTGAGATCTGAGGCTGGGGAAGGAGGCATGGGGTTCTAGGCAAGGGAGGCAGTCTCTTAGGCCGGAACCAGGGGCCAGGCACCTGGGCAGGTCACCTTCCTCTGTGGTCCCTCCCAGACCCCCTTATGCTCTTGGTTTCTCCACCTTCTGATTCCTCTGGACCCTCACCCCTTCCGGGAGCTGGTGGTCAGACACCTTCATGACTGACAGGTGCACTCTCTGAGGCCCCAAGGGACAGGGCTGCGCTCCACCTCCCTGCCCCGTCTGTCCTGTGTATGCCCCTACAAGAATGCTCTCCTCTTGCCTTCAGGTGCCATTTCTGAACGCTCCTGGAGCCGGTACCCAGGAGGAGCAGGCACAGCTCTGTGAGCAACTCCAGCAACAACAGGTGTGCTGCCAGCAGCAGGCTCACCCGGTGGCCTCGGCCCTGAGGGAGCCAGAGGCAGCAGCCGGGGCCACAGGGACTAGGAGCGAACATGGGCATGGGGAGACCCAGCGGGCCCTGCAGGAAGCCATCCACAAGCTGCAGGTGAGTGAGTCCTGGCAGGGGCCATGAAGGCTGGGGGTGGGGCAGGTCACTGCCGAGATGTGACCCCATTATTTTGGCTCCAGAGAGACTTCATTGACATTGTGAAGGAGAATGCGGACCTCAAGGAGCGGGTGGAAAAACTAGAACTCGGACTGATCCAGCTCTCTGGAGAAAGAGACATGATAAGTGAGCAGGAGGCCAGGGCAGGGCAGGGGAGTTGCAGGGTGGTGTAGGGGCCCCGCCCTCTGAGCCTGTCCTCCCGCAGGAAAGTCCGTCAAACCAAATGACCGTGAGAGGGCAGTGGCCAAGACCCAGCACCAGAAGAAGAACGATGTTAGCATGCTGTCCCAGGCCGAGGAGGGGATGAAGGTAAGGTGTACAACCTCTCTGCGGGGGTGAGGGGATGGGGGTGGGCGTGAGCGTGGGTTCGGGCACCGGCGTGGCAGCTGAGCACCCCTATCTCCAGGTGAAGCGACAGGAGCTGCAGGGGCCAGTGATGCAGCTTATGATCAACCACGAGGTCCAGCACCCTGCTCATGATTCCACTCCAGGGGCCCCAGCCCCCCAGGAGCTTGGTGATACTGACGAGGATGGTGAGTAGAGCCCTCAGGCGGGGTGGGCAGGCAGGAGCAGGGGAGGCTGGCACTGTGCTCAGATCCCCACCTCCCTCTCTCCAAAGAATTTTATGAGGTGAGCCTGGACGATGACAGCGACAGCCTGGAGCCTGCAGGAGGGAGGGTACACCACACCCCACTGCACAGCAGATGGCACATGGCTTTGTGAGCTGCGGGACGGCCAGCAACACCGGCCCTTGGGCAGCAGTCCCTCTATGCCATCCTTTTACCCCGCTGCTGCGAAGGAAGAAGTAAACATCACCATCAACTAAGAGCTGGCCAAGAAATTTACAAAGGAACAAAGTTATAGGATTAGTCTTCTACATGTTACTTTATTTAGATGTTAGAGCCACTCATGATGATTTGTGTTTTTAATTTATAGTTTATTTGTAAAAAGTTAAAGGAGAGTGGGTCTTCGTGTGGCTTTCACTGATGTTCACTCTGGCATCCTTCAGCATTTTTAATTTGATAATCATAGGTCATTAGCATGCCTATCCAGTTTGCCCTTAGGTGGTGGGAGTTCAAACACACAAAGACCCACTATTGGTACAAAACCATTCTCGCCAGTTTGGAATAGGCTGCCATGGTTTTTAACGTTATTGCAGCATGTATATTAATTATGGAATTCAGATACAATTTGCTTATGTTCTGCTATGGTATTTGATCGAATCCTAATTACAGTGACCTCTTAGTTAGCTCAGTATGTGCTTTGCCCTCACGTGCACACTGTTTATTACTTTGTAAGATGCCACTATGAGTACTGAGATTTAGAGCTGTCGAAAGGCCGAGAACTGGAAACAGCCTTTCTTCCATGTTCTATGCATTGCAAATGAGAGTAATAACATTTTGGGAGCTTTTAAAATCTGACAGAAGAGGAAAGTGGCCTGCTCTAGCAGGTATGTGCAGAATAGAGTATTTCATTCGTTCCCATGCCAAGAACGAGCACTGTGCTATGGCAATTCTTTCAGGGTTTTTCTGTGCTCTGGGCTCATGAAGATTAACAGTGGTATGATTTCTAGCCCGGGGGTTTAAAATGGACTTAAAGTTCTGTTCTTGTGTTTTATTTTTGAACTTGCCGCTTTTGCATTCTGTGAGTTCAGTTTAAAGACAGTTAGTCTAAGTCCATATTCAGCCCTCGGGCTAGAAATCGTGCCTCTGTTAATCAGCCACATTATCTGGGCTAACGTTTTTTCTTGATCATTCTGAAACTGAGTTTATCTAGTACATTGATAAATTATTTCAAAGGTCTTTTGATAGTTCAAACCACTTCACTTTTACCCTAAGAAATATAAATGACTAGGAATGACCTTGACATAGTGTTTAGCATCTGTACCCAATCTGACAAGAATGTGTTCATCAGGTACCTATGGAGTAAATCACATACAGGCGTATTTAAGCTGAATGTCAGTCTGGAAAATACATTTACTATATTAACAGAAACATCACTCTGTGTAGGTATTTTGTCATCTATTTAAGAGAAAGCTAAAAAGAATGGAAATCATATGACAGTGACTTAAGTCTTTCTTCAAAGTGCGTGTGAGTCTTTTGCAGTACTTCATTCAGCCAAGTATCTGTTCTTTGCTTAGAAGGCAACATCAGAAGGTTAGCATTCATCAAAAACACCGAATTTTATTTTTTTCCTATTTGTGTCTGCTTATTTTAGATAACTGAAACTTCACAGACTTCAACAGCAAACAAAGTTTAAAAAATTCAGTTCTGTACTTTAGCTTCAACTATTTCTATTTTATAATCTATAAGGCTCATGCCATAGTTCAGCACCAACAGGATCCACACAAAACTGTTAAAGCATCTTCTTATTCATCCTGTGTGATAGTTTTTGTTTGTTGTTGTTGTTTTTTAAGGTAAAAGTCCTACTTTCAGACCTTGAAGTGGAATCCCTCTAGTCAGAGTATAAAACTTGGGTTGTACCTTCTTATTTTCATTGAACAGATACAAAAAAAAAAAAAAAAAAGGAACTGTGTTCCACCATTGATTTAGGTTGTCAGTCTATATGTTGAATTTATAACACCGAAGGGTCAGAAGGAACATAACAATGCCCTGCCCTATTCTTCCCCTCCATTTTAAAGTTTTAGAAAGGTAACCAGAAAAATGTTTCATTTATTCTTTAAAATAAGGTGCAAAGAAGGATTACAACAACAAACGTCCTCATCCACACCTCCAGCAACATCTCACTATTTAGCATAATCTACCATGAACGGATTCAGGGACTCACCTAGAGCTATATTCACAGCTCCTGAATGGAGCATGTTTGCTATACCAGAGGCCTGCTCAATGGCAGCGTCTCTCTGTTCAGGGGTCATTACAAAATACATAGAATTTTCAAATGTGGGTTCGACTGAATAAATTTGAATTTATTTAGAAAGAATCAAAATACCTATTTAAAGATTGCAATATATGATAATCATTTTTAAAGGATTTTATTAAACCTGATAGGTTTTCCAGAAATGAATAAAAATCAGTTCTGAAACCAAAGCTGATTTTAAGAAAATTTGAAAATGTAAATCAGTCCTATCCTACCCATAATATAGCTGCTCCAAAACTTTATCTTAAAGAGTCATTTTAAAATAACTATTAAAACATGTAACTGCTATCTTAATGTTTTGAAATTACTTAAAACATTTTAAAATATGAATATCACAGTTTAAAAGAAACCAGGGGAAGGAAAAATAGAGAAAGAAATGCCAATTCCAGTCCAAAGCTTTAGTTGCCAGGTTTTCTAAGAATTACTTTTACCAATGTATGAACTCTTATGAACAGAATGTAAGATGTAAATCCTGAGCCTTTTGTCTAAAGCGACATTATTGACTGCTGTTGTGATGCTCCAGTAATGTAATAAATTATTCAATTGCTGCAAAGCTGCTGTTTTTGCCTTAAAATTTTGTGTGTCTTGACAACTATAGTATTAAAGGTATGGAGACTCTGCAAATGCTGGGCACGCTTGGCATGAGATAATGTGTTTTTATGAAATTGTAATATAGCTATGCAAGTGTGTTTATTAAAAGAACACAAACTAATAAAAACGTGATTAAAAGTTATGGGATAAAAATTGTGTAAAGGTTGTGGTAAAAAAACGTGGATAAAATGTGGAAAAATTTTATGAAAAGTATAAAATTTATGAAAAGGAAGTTAAGAGATTTTTTAAAATCATCATGGGGAAAAATATAAAAATAAAAGCAGGCCCATGTCAGCAAGGCCCGAAGGGGAGCTGGAGTCTCCGCCCCACCATGTCCCTCCCAACCCTTCCCAGTCATGCCTTTATTACTAGCGTAGCAAGACAAGCCCCCCGTCTAATGGGGGGAGACAAACAGACCCTTTGCCACCTTCACCAGGGCTGAATCCTCAAATCTCTGGGTGATGATGGTTGTTATTTAAGAGCCAGAGGCTGCTGGAGTTGATCTGGCCTCCTTCCTCTCACCAAAGCAGCTTCTTCCTCAGGGGGCTCCCATCTTCTTATTCAGAGAGGCAGCTGAGGCAGGACTGTGGCGCTAACTGTGGACCAGGCGAGGGCACGGGCTGCTGGGGTGACCCCCCCTTCCCCAGTGTACATATTGTATGTGTGTAACGTATATTTTAGCGGTTTTGGGTGCCCCGTGTATCTTACCTGGCAGAGGTTGGAGCTGGTACATGGGGGAGGAGGTTTTAATAATTATTTGCAGCTGGGAAACTTACTTATTGATAGCAGAGGACAGAGGAAGGAGGCGGGGACAGGGTCGTGGCTCCCTGGTGATGCAACTCCTGTTTATTTTGCCTTTTATTTTGGAATAAATGGATTTAGCCACACTGCTCGGCCTGGTGTAGTCCCGTTTCCCTCACTGGGTCCTGGAGTTTGTGCCCCTGAACGAGGAGCCCCAGAGTGTCTGAGCGTGTCCAGCCGGGCTGTTGGGGACCTTCCAGGCCTGTTACCTGTGTGCTGCCTGGTGACACCTGGGGGACTTCCCGGGGACTGCGGTGGCACGTCCGGCCCTGACACCCAGCAGGCTCAGAAGCCAGATCAGCGGTGGCCGGGAAGGCAGGTACCGGCACCCAAGGGCGCTGACTTCCGCCCACCCCAAGCGTCTGTCTTCCACCCCCCGCCTCCCTCTCCTGTCTGCGCCTGGTGGCCTGCGCTGTCTGTCCCTCCAGAGCGCCGGCTGCCCCGCGGGCTCCCTCCAGGCTGAGTTCGTGGCCCTCCTGCCCACTCGTGGACAGAGCCGGCTGCACGGGACAAGACCAGCTGAGCTCCAGGGGCTTTCCGGGAACAGTGGCCCTTGGAAAGGGTGGGGCCTTTTCACTGCTCCCAACAGCACCCCAGAAATGGCTTGTCCTTTCCCTTCCCCTGAGCTCCAGAGAGAACACAGTCCACAGGGAACGCATTCCCCATCGTCCAGAAATGGGTTTGACTCTCAGTCAAGGGACAGCAGGAGAGGTAGAGACTGTCAGGCCACAGGGCTGCCTGCGCAGCACCTCGGTGCTTGTCGGGGGACAGGAGGGATGGCGGGGCCTGGGTGACAGGGAGGCTCACTGGAGGTGGTGCACTTTGGAGAGGCAGTGTCAGGGGACAGCTTTCTCTTGTTGGGACACATGACTCCACCACAAGGACATCACAGTGACTGATTCCCAGTGCCAGAGGCGAGGCGGTCGGCCACGTGGAGGTGTGTGCATATATGTGAGTATTTATAGCTATTTCTTGAACAGGGCAGGAGCATGCCACAGAGAGGGACGGTCACACCTGGATGTGTCAGCTTACCACTACAACAGACTAAGTCACAGATGAAGGGGGCTGCCTTTGGGGCTGGGGATTCACAGAACAGCCGCCCAGGCCGGCATCGCACCACATGGTAGAGCAGGAGCTGGGGGTCATCTGGGCGCTGGAGCTGGCTCTGAGGCTCTGGCTGCTGAGTGGCTGCACAGACCCTGCCAGAGGCAGAAGAGACTGTCAGCCTTTGGGACCCAGGCCCAGGCCTGTGGCTGCAGAGAGGCAGCGTCACCCTGGCGTACGACCTTCAGCTCCTCCCGGGCTCCCAGCAGCCAGGAACGCCCACAGTCAGCACAGGCACCTGGGCGGACGGTGAGGGTCCGGCTGACCTCCAGCGAAAGGAGCACATGCTTTTGGGCTGTCACTCGGAAGAAGTGTCCGGAGGAAGCGTGCCCGCCGTCAGGGAGGCCGAAGCAGAAGCCTCCGTCCAGGGCTCCTGGGGATGGGGGCATTGGGTCCACTGGCCTGAGCTGGCTCCCCACCCTGGGGATTCCCCGTGGGCAGCAGGAACCTGGGGCCTGCCCTCAGCACCCACCTCTGTGTGAGAACAGCACGAGCCCGCCGTCCAGCTGGGCCTGTGTGAAGCTGCACACCTCAGTGCCCGGCACCCCCCACAGCACTACGTGCCCGCTACTGGGCTGCCTGATGGTGTAGACCAGGTCCTCAGGCCCGGAGTCACCATCCATGCTCCTCAGAGCCTCCGCAGGGATGGGTGCCATGGC